ACTGATTTACTATTAGTTAAAAGCAAAGTTTCAGATCAACTAAATGAACTTTCTTTATGAATGGCATTACATGATTTAGAAAGAAAATTATCCTTAAGTAAAAACTGGTTCTGGCATAAGCTTTATGACCAATGAGACATTTTTCCATTACCTGTGCAGGTGTGGGACAGGACAGCTGAGTAACATGGCCCTGGGAAGAACAGAAACCTCTTTTCCTCTTTTCTCTGAAACACCAGAAGTTAAAGTTCTACTCTGGGTGATATGTGCATCAATTTTAGACATATCGCTAATTTTATTATAAAAATAAAGTGCTAAAGACAAAGGGTATTTCCATTCCTCTGGACAGGAGGCCACAGACCAGCACTGCCTTACCCATGTGTATACACATGTGTGTTTTGTACCATCTGAAGGCAGCTCCTCCCTGCCTTCAGTTCCATTTATACAACTTGTCTTCTCTAAAGGTTCTTTGGATTTCATGATCTGGCAATAAAGTTCACTTTCTTTATTCTTCCGTCTCTGTCCTGGTAAACTTTCACATGTACAGATTTTGCCAGGTTTTTCAGCTAGTTTATGTTTTGGGACTTGATTATTTTTTTCTGACAATATTGTGGATGAGTCTGGCTTCTGGCTAACTTTACACAAAAAATGTACTGTAAATTCATGCTGAGATTTGGGCAGGCAAAGATATGCGTGACCATCTACAGATGTTATCTTCACATTGCCATTCTCCATACACATCTTGCTATCATCTGTGTCAAGACTGGGCCATTTCACTTCTGAGATGTCAATGAAGACACGCTGAATTGATGGGAAAAAAGACATGGTGAGTATTTTCTGTTGACAGTCCAATTATTCATATATTTGATACTTTTGTATAAGAAAGCTCTTAGACATTTGTTTGTGTTTTTCATACCTACAGAGAATAAAAAATGGAGTCAGATGTCAGCCTATATATGGTTTTCCAGAGAATATCTGATAATGTTAAGATTCTCTTAGGAAAAAAAAAAAAAAAANTGTATGTGGGATCCGAACCCTCGGCGGGAGCGCCGCCACACTTCCCAAGCGGCGCACTAGCACAGTGCGCCACCGGGCCGGCCCTTGATAATCATTGTTAAGCCAGAAAGTCATTCCCATATTTTGTTTCAATTACCAAATGTGTACTCAAAGACTACCTGGGATCAAATCCCAAATCTACAAGTACTAGCTGTATGACTTTGCTCAGTTATTTAATTTTTCCTTTACAAAATGGGGATAATTATACTTACCTCATGGGGTTACTATGAGATCAAATAGGTAAAGTACAACAGTACCTGGCACATAAGCACTTTGTGTTAGCTATTATCATTATTATAGCACTATTTCTACAAAGTTCATGTTACAAATCTGTAACTATTAGGTTATTCATCTCTCAGTGGGGGTAATAGGTTTATATTTAGACATCCAGAAACCTCTCCATGTTTTATCCCTTTTGAAAGTGGACATATTTACAGTCAGATAACCAAAAACAGAGGTAGCCTCTGAGGCTAGGTATGGAAGAATGAACCTACGATCACA